CAAGCCTTCTTCCCCATTTTGTAAAGTCACGGGGCCTGTGGCAACATTGTCTGTAGACTTGACACCATTGATCAGTCACCTCTGGGCCAGTCTGCGTGTGGCTGTGTGACGTTCAAGATCATTCTCCGTAGGCTTGTGAACATGCCAAATGCACGTCCCATTCAATATTCTCTTCCTATCTAAACTTGCCTATTTACATGTTTGTTTATTTATTTTGAGAGAGATAGAAAGCAAGAGGGGAAGGGGCGGGCGGGGGGGGAGACAGAGAATCCCAAGCAGGTTCCTGTTGTAATGCAGACCCCGATGTGGGGCTCGACCTCACAAACCACGAGATCATGACCTGAGCTGAAATCAAGAGTCAGACAATTACTCCACTGAGCCACTCAGATGCCCCCAAACTTGTCTGCTTATAAGTAGCATGAATGCTTCAAATTCCTTTTGTACATCTTCTGGCATAGCTGTGTCCAAACCTTCCATGTTGAAATACATATTATTACACATTTCATTTATTATTCCTTTATAATATAGTTAGGACATTTTATTATGCATTTATTCTGAAAGCAAGCATGTAGGTGGATTATAGTTTCAGTTTCATTCCAAGAAAGTGAAGGGGCTGTCACAAAATGACTGTCATGGGAAGGGAGTGTTGATTTTGCTAGAGTTGAGAACCTTCCAACTTGATAATCTTGGAGGTTCTTCTAGCTCAGGCTCCTAAGTGTCTAAGATGTAAATTGTGTTTGGGGACACCAAGGTGTATCCTCTTTGTAGCAAGGTGAGGTATGCATCAGTCAGGCTATGCCGGGTGACAAACAGCCCCCAAGGTGGTGGTTTCACAGTAATGGTTTATTCCTCACTCATGCCACATGGCTAACGCTGGTCTAATGCAGGTCTTTTTCACTCAGTCACTCCCAGACCCTGGCTGATGGCGGCTCCACCCTCTTGCAACAATACCATCTCAGGGAAATGGAAGAGAAAGAACTGGAAAGCCTGACACTGGCACTAAAGTGACGAGGCATCTGAGACATCTCAGAATCCACTGGACAGGATGAATCACATTGACTCCCACCTACTTTCAAGAGGACACCGTGGTAACCTGCTCCCTGCTACACCCCATCGGGAGCCTTCCCTTCCCTGCAGATACTTCCTGGGATGGCTTCTCAAATAAACTACCTGCACTTGACCTCTTGTCTTAGGGTCTGTTTCTGGTAAAGCCCAAACAAAGACACCTTCACCCATCTCCTTATCAATTACTCATTAATGAATTCGACCAGTCAACAAATATCTCTGAGCACCTACTATGTGCTGGGTCTGGGCAGACACTGGGGCTACAGACATGACTGAGCCCCTCTCTGATTGGGTCCACTGTCCCGAACAGCAGTGGCTCAGGACACACCCAGAGCCAAGTGCTTTGAGATGCCCCTGCTAGAGCCTTCAGAGAGCACACGGCCCTGCTCGATTTCAGGCTTCTGGCCTCCAGACAAACACTTCTGTGGGATGGGCTTTCTTGGACATGATTTTTATTGTGGTAAAATAGACACAACATAAAATTTACTATTTTTAATCATTTTAGGTGTGCACTTCAGTGGCCTTAAATACATTCGGAGTGTTGTACCACCCATCACCCTCCATTTCCAGAACTTTTTCATCTTTCCAAACTGAATCTCCCTGCCCGTTACACACTGGCTCCCCATTCCCCGCCCCCCCCCCCCCGCCCCCAGCTCCGCGGTTCCACGTTCTGTCTCTGTAACTTTAGATACCCCAGGGGTCTCATGTGAGTGGAATCAGGTGGTATTTGTCATTTCGTGACTTGTTTCACTTAGCATCATGTCCTTACACTTCATCCATGCTGCTGCGCGGGTCGGAATGTCCCTCTTTTTTTTTTTATTTTTTTAAGTGTATTTATTTATTTTGAGAGGTAGGAGGGGTAGGGGTAGAGAGAGAGAATCCCAAACAGGTGTGTGCTGTCAGCCCTGACATGGGGCTCGATCCCATGAACCCTGAGATCATGACCTGAACCAAAATCAAGAGTCAGATGTTTAACAGACTGAGCCACCCAGGCACCCGTTTACTGGCAATTTTTTGAGGAACTGCCATAATGTTTCTGTAGAGGCTGTTCTATCTTACATCCCAAATTCCTGTGCCTTAAGCTGCCCTAGAGAAACTTCCCTTGTGTCAGGCGCTGGACTGTGGGCACCATGGTCAACAAGGCAGGCGATGGACCTTCCCTCAGGATGCCTACCTTCTAATTGGAAAGATGGCGAATAAATGAGTAACACACTTGTCGGGTGGTGAGAAGTGCTACAGACAGAAACAGCCGGGCTGAGTGTGAGTGTGTGTGTGCATGTGTGGTATGAATGTGTGTGCGCATGTGCGGTATGAATGTGTGTGTGCGTGTGCATCGGGGGCATTGGTGGAGCGCAGCCAGTCTGGCTCGAACTTGGCCTCTGAGCCCCAGTGCGGTTCCCTGCCTCCTGCCTGAACTTGGATTTGACCAAGAGGCAGGCTGGCTGCGAGGAAGCCTTACATGCTGGGGGCACATGAACAAAGGCCGGGTGCCCAGGGTGGAGCTGGCAGCAGGGATCTGAGAGGTTTCTCCAAACCTCAGGGCCCTGAGAGCACCCACTGGAGAGCCGCAGGTGCTGGGACAGCCCGGGGTCTTCAGGGTGAAGTTTACTCCCCCCGGCCTGCAGGAGCGGCCCCCGCCACACGGGAGCTACACCAACCTGCCTCTGAGTCTTGTAACAGCCTCATTGCACGGTCCCCTTTCTGTTGGGAACTCCCTTCCCCGCCTGGGGTCCCAGGCCAATTGGCCTGCGCCCCCGAGGACTCTGCCTCTCCCTGGGAGCTCTCCTGGATGGTCCAGACTGGGGTAGGTCCCCTCCCGGACACAGCCCACCTCCCCTGGGATGGAGCTTGGCACCAAGTACGCGCCTAATAAATATTTGTTGAATGAAGGCATGGATGGGTGGATGGCTGGATGCCGGACCCTGGCAAACCACCCCCCTCTTCCCTTGTTTTCTCCCAAGGCCGCTGAGATCTGCCTCCGTCTGCCTTCCCCCAGGGCTCGGCTGACCACGCCAGTGAACCCGGCGTGCCCCCGGTCCTGGCAGCTGGACGGCTGATGCATGCAAAGTAGGCATCCCCTTGCCCGGCCGCCTGACCACCCTGGCTCGGCCGAATCCAAAAGCTGATGACATTATTGTGCAGAGACACAATGTCTGTAGGCATTTGCTGACCCGGGCTTTGGTGCGGGCTTAATCCAGCATTCTCGTCCCGCTTTCTGTGGGGACGCAGAGGTCCCCCGTCTTGGCACCGGCACTCCTGGGGAAGGTATAAATGCCACCTCCCGCCGGCTAGCCTTCACGGGCACTCTCAGGGGCTGGTGTCACTGGTAAGAATGCCTCTCTCGCTTGCTTTGTCTTCTCCTCTCATCCTTATCTCTGGCTGGAATGTGTGGGAACCTGGGTTCAAATCCAGGTGCCACCCCGTTTCTGACAACGGGGCCTCAGGCAAAGACTTCACTGCTGTAAGCCTTGGCTTTCTTTTCTGTTAAATGTGGAGAGGGGTCATCAAACCTCCTTTGCTAGAGAGGACCTAGGTGCGTGGTCCAGCCCGGCGCCTGGCACACAGGCACCGCTATCCGTATGAACGAGTCCGTCAGTGTCCTTGCTTTGCTGGAGGCTGGGGAGAGAATCCGAGGGTTTGTAAGTGGAAGGAATCAAACCAGCGAAGGAACAGCAGCGTTTCAAGGGCGGTGAGCCAGCGCCCTCCACATCCGCTGACATTCCCGGGCTCCTGCTACATGTCCAGCCTTGGGGAGCATTTAGTGGGCAGGAAGCAGCCGGGCGACAGGTGACTCCCGAGCCACTAACGCTTGGTGGAAACGACCCTCATAATGCCATAATTGCTATGCGAGCGAAGCCCGGCCCGCTGCCAAGTGCCTGCGGTCTTTTGCGTTATGGAATCGAATCGTCACAGCCCGTTCACAGATACCATCCGGCACCGTGGCTGTCCCCATTTTGCAGAATAGGAAATTGAGGCCCGGAGTGCCAGCACCCGAGCTGAACTGATTGAACTTAACCTCTAGTGCAAGGCAGTCAATGACGGAGGGCCGCTGACACTGTGAGGGGCTCGAGGGCTGGTTACTTAGGGGAGCAGGGCAACCTTGGCCCCAAGCTGCTTGTTTGAAGGTCTTCTCTGTGGGGGACGTCCTGGCCTGGCCTCGAGTGTGGAAGGGGCTTCTGGAAGCCGGCCGTTGTCCCTGGAGAAGGAGTTCAGGTGTCTCAGCTTCTTGGGGAACCGCAGGCTGGGGTCACTGCCCCTCCTGCGGGAGAGAGGGAAAGAGTGCCAATTTTCCAGACTTTTCTTCATTCTTCCCAGGGAGGAAGTCTTCCCTGCTGCTGCCCATCACGGTGCCTGAGTTTCCACCATGACGCTCACTTCTCTGCCTTCTCGTAGCATGAGCTCCATCACAGATGTGTGCGCCCTGGGGGGTGGGGTGAGACCAGTGGCAGAGAGGAGCATTCTGGGTACCGGGGGCTGGCGGGGCTGGGGTTGGGGGGCGGGGTTTGAGGGCTCAGGGGTACAGGAGACTTTGTGAGCTGCAAAGAGGGAGCCAAACAAAACACGGCCACGCATGGGGTGGGGTTTGTGGCCCGTACTTTTCTTCCAATTGGGACATTTCAGCGCGATATGGATGGGTCCCGCCGAAGCCCCAGTTTATCACCGCTTTCTTAGCAGACCTCATTTCCCTCCCCACCCTACCTGCCTCCGGAGCCGCCCAGGGCCCAAAGAAATGAAGCTCTAAGGATGGAAATTCAGACAGCCACTTGCGGCCCCCACTGCTCCGGGACACTCCGAGGCTGGGAGACCAGAGCAGGCTCGAGGGCGGGAGCGGAGCGGCCCTGAGGCGCCCAGGTGAGGAAGCAGAGGGCGCAGAGGGGTCGTCACTGCCGCTCCCCGCTTGTCTTCCAGGTCATTCCTGCACAGGACAACCCACCATGGCCTCAGACCACCAGACCCAAGCGGGCAAGCCACAGCCCCTCAACCCCAAGGTGGGTACGATGTGGGGGAGGGCGGAGGTGGGGGGCAAGCAGAGCTCTTCTTCCAGACTCAGTTTCCCTTCTGTAAAGGCCGAGTTGCTCTCTTCCTTCCTGAAGCTCCCCCTCTCTGCCTAACCCCCTCTCTGGGCTCCAATCTGCCTCACTTGCACCAGGGGGCACTGACTCGGGCGGCCCCTCCCCAGCCCACGACCGGCACGCCAGGATTCCTGACACCAGCTTCCAGCCTTGGGGACTTAACGTTTCTCTGCCTTACCCCACACCCCGTGCCCTGTACCCCGTTGCCCACAGGGGCTCCCCAGAGCTGGGGCGGACCCACAGTCTGGTGTGAGAGGGGGCTTGCGAACAGGAGACGAGGTGGGGTTCCCAACCTGCTGTGTGACTCAGGCCAGTCACTTGAACTCTCTGAGCCTCAGTGCCTTCCTTTGTAAAATGGGGAGAATCGGATTCACAGTGCAAGGTGGGTGTGAAGGGGCAAAGAACACCAGCTCAGCCCAGCCTGTGGTGTGTCCACCCAACACCAGCTATCAGCACCTGCTTTTGCTTCCTCATTCTCCTGGCCCCCTAGGACCCAATGACGGGGGACTCATCACACCCCATCTGCATCCAAACCTCTAGCAGCAGCCAGCACCCTGGCTGCCTCTGTCAGGCTCCCTCCCACAGTCCTCTGCTTCAGGGGCCCTGGGCGTGGGGTACACCGGGGCACTTTTGTGGACACGCGGCCTCCCCAGCCAGGGAAGCTTGAGTTCCGAGTGTCGGGATGAATCAGGAAAGGAGGTGTTAGCTGAGGTGGTCAGGGAGGCCTTCCTGAGGAGGCGACACCGGAGGGAAGACCCAGGTCACCGGCCACGTAAGTCGGGGTGAGGGTCAGGGAGAACATTCCAGGCAGAGGGCACGGCAAGCTCAAAGGCCCAGAGATGAGACTGAGCTGCATGGGTCTGAGGACCAGCATGAAGGCCCGCGCTAGGTGTTCAGAGCCGCGCTGGTCCTTGGTGGTAGAAAGTGTGCCATGTAGGCAACCTAGCACCTCCTGCAGCCGCGATAAAGAAGTACAAACAAGCCAGAGAAATTACTTTCCGTGTTCTATTTTATTAAACCCAATAGGTCCTAATATATAATCATTAGAAAAAGTATGAATAAGCTCTTTTCCATTCTTTCTTTCCTATTCTAAACCTTCAACATCTGATATGTCGCCTTCAGCGAGGGCGCGTCTTAATTGGGACTGCCCCAGCGCCTTCCCTAGAAGGGTGGCTAACGGCTGCGGCACTGGGCTGCACACACTTATTTGTTTATTTTTAATGTTTCTTTTTGAGAGAGAGAGTGCGTGAGCAGGGGAGGGGCAGGAAGAGAGAGAGGGACAGAGGATCCTAAGTGGCTTCTGTGCAGCCAGCACAGAGCCCGACGCGGGGCTCGAACCCACGAACCGTGAGATCATGACCTGAGCCCATGTCGAATGCTTAGCCCGCTGAGCCACTCCCGCGCCCCTGGACGGCGCACATTTAAAGGATTAGATATCATGTAAAATGTCAGCATCTGTGTGTGTATACATAATAACAGTAACAATAATAATACTGAGCCTCTGGGCTGCCTGAGGCCGTTCGAATACACGGAGAGGCTGCCCTTCCTGGTCCTCCTCCTTGTTTCCCAGGCCAGGCTGCTAATAACCTGGCTCCTCACTTCCCCACCCCTGCTTCTTCTCAATAACCCTGAGAGTGGGCAATTCCCCCATTTTACAGACGGGCCAGCTGAGGCTGGAAGCAGCCCCGCTCCCGGCTGGGGTTGCCCAGCTGGAAATGCGGCAGGGGGGACATCAGAGCCCATGTCTCCCGATCCTTCCATGGCCGAGTCAGTGACCCTAAAGGCTGACGTGAGCCCGTGGAATTTGTCTCTGAGCCCCGCCGGGCCTCCCTGCCCTGCTTTTATCCAGCTAATCCCCGGCCGGGGAGAGAGGGACATGTTTACCCAGCCAGTGCTGACCGTGTGGATTGTGCGGCTGCTTTTCCCAGGAGCCCGCTGCTGCCCTGAGCCTGCCTCTCCGTCCGGGGGGGTCCCTGGGGAAGAGTGGCCGAAAAACCTTCCCCCCCAAGCGCGCTCTGGGATCGTGCAAGGTGGCGGCTGCGAGGCTGTGGGGTGGGGGGGGTGTCGGCGCCTTCACCTTGCAGAGACTGTGCTTTCCTGATGGGGAGCCTGCTGGCCCCTGCCCTGGGCTGATGAGAGTCCCCTTAAGGAGGGAAGCCTCTTTAAGATGTGTCCCAAGGGAGGCCAGAAGGGGGCCTGCAGGGCCCGTGGGGGCTTAAAGAAAAGGCACAGGTATGTGGTCCTAGGGGCGAAACAGGGTTCGGTGTGTGCGGTGGTGCCGCCGGCTCTGGGGGGAGGAGGGAAAGCCCTACGTCACCTGGAGGCTCATGAGAGATGCAGAACCTGAGGCCTCACCCCAAGACACGCTGCCTCGGACATGGCAGTTCATCAAGCTCCCAGGTGCGTCGTGTGCACATTAGTTTGCAAAGTGCTGCCCTGAACGGACACGGCATCGGACAAACTCGGACTCCGGTTTCAACTCTGCCGCCCGCCCGCCCGGGATCTGCCCGGGTGTCCCTGAAATCTCAGGAGTTTGCCTCCCACACACAGAGCAAATGCTGCGCCTCGCCTTTATGCTTCTCCGAATCCTTCCAGCCACCCCACGGGGCAGGCTCTGTTCCCATTTTACAGATGGGGCAACTGAGGCTCAGCGAGGTGAAGTACTGGCTCAGGGTCTCACAGCTGGCAGCCGGCAGAGCCAGGACAGTCTGAGTGTCACGTCGGGGCTGTGGCTCCCGGGGGTGGAGCCCGCCAGCGTCCCTGGAGGCTCCCGGGCCCCCTCCACCCCCAGCGCCCCGCTTTGCTCCTCCCCGTCGCGATGAGTCCAACCCTCTCCTCCTGTTGCAGATCATCATCTTTGAGCAGGAGAACTTCCAGGGCCACTCGCATGAGCTCAGCGGGCCCTGCCCCAACCTGAAGGAGACCGGTGTGGAGAAGGCAGGCTCTGTCCTGGTTCAGGCTGGACCGTACGTACCTGGGGTGGGGGGCGCGGGGTGGGGAAGGGGGAGGCTCGCCTGGTGGGAGCTGCCACGGTGAGGCAGATGGACCTGGAGGATCCGGCCCCCCTGCCCCCCCGCACTGTGCTTCTAGACCCTGCGATATGGGGGCTGGCCGCCCGTGGAGAGAATTTGTGCTTTGGTGTCAGATAGCACTGGATTCAAACGCCAGCTCTACCACTTCTAGGCTGTGTGACCTTGGACCAGGAACTTCCCTCTCTGAGCCTCGGCTTCCCCCTCTGTAGGATAAGAGTAACCCCGTTCAAGGTGAAGGAAAAGAACTCATGGGGAAATCCTGACACGGAGCCCAGCCGCCTCCTGGAGGCGGGGAGATAAACACAGTCACGGTCACGGTCACGGATAGAGCTGCCGGTTTCTGGCTCCGGGGGCATCTGCGCTCTCCTGGGAGGCTTAGAGCTAGAGGTCCCAGCTCTGCATTCACTGTCCCCTTCCCAAATCCTGGCCATACTGGATCTCCGCGGATTCAGCACATTTGGGGGCCAGCAGCCTTGGGGTCCCTGATCCTGGAGAGAAGGCGGCGGGGGTGGGGCTTGTAGGATGGGACTCTGCCCTGCTCAGGTCACACAGCTAAACACGGCCTGCAGGGGGCTCCCAGGAGCGCGTCTTCCTGGATGAGAGAAGTTTCCACCACTTAAGCACACTGCATCTGATTCTCAGGCGCCCTTTTTGTTGTTAGCATTTGGATGGAAGAATTTCTCAAACGGACGTTACGCTCCTCTGCTTTCTTCTTCCAAATATAACTTTTGATATTTTTATTAATGATCATCTATTGTTCAAAATGAAGTTCTGGGTCACTGAGGCAATTCTGCTCTTGGGTTGGCGGTGGCCGGATTTTGATGGGTGAGCTGAGCAGGTGCGAGTCCCCTGGGGGCTCGAGTGACTAAGCCAGGGTCCTGCCAGAGGAAGCCCGAGGTGGCTCGACCCGTCGCTCTCTGTCTCCGCTGCAGCTGGGTGGGCTATGAACAAGCCAACTGTAAGGGTGAGCAGTTTGTGTTCGAGAAGGGCGAGTACCCCCGTTGGGACTCCTGGACCAGTAGTCGGAGGACCGACTCCCTCAGCTCCCTGAGGCCCATCAAAGTGGTGAGACTCCTGTCACTTCCTGCTTCGTCTCTTTGCTGCTTTTTGCCAAGGCTTTAGGGACCAGGAGGGAGCCTTCGTCACCAGCATTGTGACCCTTCTGATGCGCAGGGCATACTTCCTGGCTGTGCGACCTACTATGAGCCGTTCGCCTCCCTGGGCCTCAGTTTTCCCAACTTTAAAATGGGGATCCTGAGATTCCCACATGCCCAGGCTACAGGCTGCCACATTGCACAACCCCAGGGGACTCCATTCACAAACCTCAAAATGCTCCCGCAGGGGCGAGGGTGGGGGAGGACTGCTCACATTCTATTCTGTGCAGACGGTGCTTTCCGGGGTTGGGAACCCATCACGCGGTAATTGCCCAATAAACAGTAGCCATCATAAATATGAAAAGAAATTCTGGGATTGGTGTGGAGGAAAAGGTAGGTTGGCTCTTGTTTATAACTCGTGCCAGTGGGACCTTCTGGTGCGTCTCTGATCCTGATCCTTTACTAGAAGGTGAGCTCTCAGGGAGGACACAGGGCCCAGCAATGCTCAGTTACACCCCCAAGCCTCCCCAGCACAGGCTAGTTCTCCCCAGAGCTTGATGGAAGATAGGAGAACTTCGCATCCCACGGACCTGGGTTCCTGCGTTGGCCCTGGCGCTCCTAGCTGTGTGACCTGGGCAAGCTGCTTTACCTCTCTGAGCTCGGGTTTTCCCACCTGCCAGGGAGCATCAGGGTACCTCACGGATTACAGGGATGACTAAGGAAAATGTCACAGGAGCAGGAAGATGGGAAGAGAGGTGGCGAGGAAGGAAAGCCAAAATATCTCAAGTGCCTGCTGGGGACACCACCAGCCCGTGTCTGTCTGTGTAGACTGTGGCTGCCTTTTTTTTTTTTTTTTTTTTAAAGCAGGCTGAGGTTATGGGAGGGAAAATGGCATATCAGAATTGAATGTGCCTTAAAGTGTAGACTCTGGAGTGTTGCAGGAAGATAGCCCAGGGGGCTCTCAACAAACAGTCGCTGTTTAACCGCAGTTGTAGACACACTCGGGTGGCGGGGGTCCTGGGCAGAGGGCTGTAGATGGAATGTGCTGCTGCCCAATGCTGCGGCATGTGGGCGTGCGGGCTCTCCCTGGCTCCCCTCCCGCGCTCACTCTCCCTCCACCCTGTCAACAGGACAGCCAAGAGCACAAGATCATCCTGTATGAAAACCCCAACTTCACGGGGAAGAAGATGGAAATCATAGACGATGACGTGCCCAGTTTCCACGCCCATGGCTACCAGGAGAAGGTGTCGTCGGTGCGCGTGCAGAGCGGCACGTGAGTGTAGCCCAGACCCGGGTCCTGAGTCCCGCTCTGCCCTGAACCCCGCTGATCTTGTACACTCCCAGCCTCAGTCTATCTCTTTGGAAAATGGGCATGGAGATCATAAGCTTGTATGTAGCTTTCAGCCCTTGCCGTGCTCTCCGGATCTGCCTTTTGGGCAATGCTCTACCTGTGGGGGAGGGAGAGCTTGGCCTTAACCTCAGTCCCCAGAAGCAGGACCGTAAACATTGGCGGGGTGCAGATGAGGTGGAGGTGGGGTATCGGAAAGGTAGGGAATGCTGAGTGGTCTTGACAGAGCCACGGGGGAAGTCCAGTCCCTGCTGGCTCTTTACTGCATGAGTTTCTGAAGTTATAAATAGGAAGTGTCAATTCCCTTGAGCTAAACTTCCTTGGGGCATAAACTCTGGCCATCCCCCAGGAGGAATTTGTCATCGTGCAAAATGAAACTCTGTGGGGGTTCACAGAGGGGCCACAGGCAGTGGTGAGAGCCGACCCTCAAGGTTTCAGAATATCTGATCATTGAATCATCGGCAGCTCGAAATCAGCCGTAGTGGGTGTGTTTACACCACAGAAATTGGAAAGTGAGACAAGACCTTTTTTTCCCCTCAAGAGAGCTGGTTTGGCCAACATGGAGTGGCTCTTCTTGGGTTTGTCAACCTCCTAAAACAGTGTGCAAAGTTCTGTGTTCCTAGTCCTCTTCATTCATTTATTCACTCATTATTCAAGTTGTGGAGTGCCTCCACATGGCAGGCATCGTATTAAGTGCTCCGCATGTCAAAGTAGATGAAAGAGACCTGGCTTCTGCCTTGTGTAGCTAACAGTCTAGTTGGGGTCAATGGTTAATAATTTAAGAATCCACACAAATCTGGGCTCCTGGGGAAGGGACTTGTTGAACTCAGATCTCAAGAAAGAGTAGGAAGTGCAGGTGTAAAGAGAGGAAGGACATTCCAGATCAAGAAGAGCATGTGCAAAGGCCCTGTGGTTGGAGGAACCTGGTGAGTGGGAGGGACTCTACAAAGGCTAAAGTGATTAGTGCCCAGAGATATAGGGACCCAAGACCATGAGACAGAGCTGCAGGTATACACAAGGGGTGGCCAGGCAGGTTCCTTGTAGGCCAGGGCTTTGTAACATTGGGGGAGGAGGGGAGAAACTGTAACTTTCATTAGGTGCTCAAAAGAGTGAAGGATCCCCCGTAAATGGTGATAACTTCAAATGGTGGAGGGATACTGGAGGGCTCCTGGGACCTAGCCTACTCTCTCCTTTGGCTTTGCAGCCGGGCATAGGGTTGGGAGGAGGGTGGACAGAGGCAGTTAAGAGACCTGTGATATTGTAGGCTTAAGCGGGCTTGAGATCACCTGCTCCTAGTATGAGGCCTTCAGTCAAAAGTTGCTTTAAGAGGTAGCAATCTCCCCATCAAGAGGAGGAAGAAAGCAGAGGCTGGATACCAGAAGGGTGGTGTTCCTGCTCGACAATCAGGAAGTGTGAAGTGACTGGGGGATCCACCCTTCCTCGTGGCCTAAGGATGCTCCCCTTCCCTCTCTCTTCACCTGCTTCTCCTCTGCCCTGCAGGTGGGTGGGATACCAGTACCCCGGCTACCGTGGGCTGCAGTACCTGCTCGAGAAGGGAGACTACAAGGACAGTGGTGACTTTGGGGCTCCCCATCCCCAGGTGCAGTCCGTGCGCCGCATCCGCGACATGCAGTGGCACCAGCGGGGCGCCTTCCACCCCACCAACTAGTGCCCGCCTGTCCCCTCCTTCCCGGGGGCGGGCTGCTGCCCAAGATCCCCCCCCCCCCACCTCCTGGTGAATGAATAAAGTGTGACTTGCAAATTGTGCGTCACCTTGCCTTTTATCTCCAGTGGGATCTGGGTGCATGCGTGCACGTGTGCATGAGACACACAGAAGAGAGAAAGAGACAGAAAGACCGAGAGAACCAGAAAATGCGTGGGCCGGGGCAGGAGAGACTTCCAGCTCTGCGGCGACTTCGCCGTGTGATCTTGGGCTCGTTGTCCAAACCCTTTGAACCTCTGTGTCTTCACCTGGCTTGGCACCACCTTTGCCCCACGACAGCTGGCGTGGCTGACCCCCTAGGTCCCTCTTACGAGGTTGCCGAGCACTGTCACTCTTGGGGTGCACGTGAAGGACGCTCCTGTCCTTAAAAATGTACCCGTTGCTGGCCATCCGCCCCCATTAGTGTGTTATCCCTTGAGCCTGGCAGTTTTCTTAGATCTGTCGGAGGGACTCATAACCCAGCAATCCCGCCCCGTCCCGGAGAGAGAGGTCCCGATTACGCGTTTATGCCTATGTGTGCTCGGTGGTCCCTCTTCCTTATTTGGTTTGATCCCTTAGTGTCACAATCGGCCTGGATTCTAATGGCTGTTCTGGCACCCTGGCCAGTGACCAGGACTCAGACAAGCCATTCCACTTCTCAGACCCTCCATGGGTCTACCTGGAAGGAATGGGAAAGAAATTGTGCCTCCCTCACCTGGTTTCAGGGAGGATGAGATGAGCTAACCCAGGCCTTCTCGGTATAAGTGGGGATCATTTACTGGTTACCTGTAGTGCAAGTGTCTGCTCCCAGAGCACAGGTTCTCTTCGTTTTGTATTTGGTCTCTTTTGTTTTAATGTTTACATTTTTGAGACAGAGAGAGACAGAGCACGAGCAGGGCAGGGGCAGAGAGAGAGGGAGACACAGACTCTGAAATTGGCTCCAGGCTCTGAGCTGGCTGTCAGCACAGAGCCCGATGTGGGGCTCGAACCCACGAACCGTGGGATCATGACCTGAGCCCTAGTCAGAAGCTTAACCAACTGAGTCCAAGGCACCCCTGTTTGGTCTCTTTTGATGTAGTCTAACATCAGTCTGTTCCTTTACTGTTTATACCTTCCATGTTTTCTTTAAGACATTCTTCCTACCTCAGGTCACAAATCTATTCCCCAATATACTTTTTTTTCCCTAAAAGTGTTCAAGTTGTGCTCATCACATGGAAGTTCTCGGTCCTTCTGGAGACGATTTTTGTGTACAGCGTATGGCAGGGACCTCATTTCGGTCTGGATCTCCCTTTTGTCATGGAAGCATTTATTAAGCAGTGCATTTCCCCCGCTGTGCAGTAATACTACCTTGTCACATATTTTACTGGCACATGTGCATGGAATCTATTGATGGGGTCTCCTCTTTCTTTCTTTCTTTCTTTCTTTCTTTCTTTCTTTCTGAGAAGGTATGGAGGGGCAGAGGGGGTGAGGGAAGGGAGAGAGAGGGAGAAATAGAGAAAGAATCTCAAGCAGTCTCCATGCTTGATCCCACAAACCATGAGATCATGGCCTGAGCCAAAATCAAGAGCTGGACACTCAACCAACTGAGCCACCCAAGTGCCCCGATGGGGCCTCTTTTCTGTCCTTTAGTCGATTTGTATATTCCTGTAGTTTGACCGCAGTGTGTCAGTAACTATTGCTTTGTAGTAATACATCTTGAACCATTCATCTTGTTCATAAATATTTTAGATATTCTTGCCCTTTAAACCTCCATATAAAATCATCCCCAAAAGTCTGAAAAAATAGAAAACTCTGTTGAATGAGCTAAAGTGGATAAAATAATTACCACGGGGGTGGGCACTAACCAGTGCTCAGCAAATGTTACTAGTTTCCATTTGCTCATTCATTCTTTAGCAACACTTGCTGAGCGACTATTTTCTTCCTGGAACTGGGCTGAGTGGAAGATACAAAGTAAGTGAGACAGAACTCCTGCCCCCAGGAAGCTCGCACTCCAGAGAGATTTTACTAGCTAGACAATAAAACCACAGTCATTAATACGGGTTGAAGTGTCCCCCTTGGATTCATGTGTTGTGTCCTAACCCTTTAGGATCTCAGGATGTGACCATATTTCCAAATACGGAAATGACATTGCAGATGTCATTCGCCAAATTGAAATGAGGTCCTGGTAGATAGGGTGGATCCTTAACCCCATACAACTGGTTTCCTTATGGAAAGGGGAGATTTAGAGACAGACAGACAGACAGACACACAAACACACACACATTCACGGAAAATACCATGTGAAGAGGCAGCAGAGGTTGGGGTGATGCTGCAGAAGCCGAGAGACATCCAAACCACCTGGAAACCACGAGAATCTAGGAGAGAAGCCCGAACAGATTCTCCCTCAACTGCCCCCAGGAAGGGCCAATGCTACTGACATTGACCTTGGACTGCCAGCATACAGAACCGTGGAGAGAATACATTTCTGTTGTTTAAGCCACTCTGTTTGGGGCATTTTGTGATGGCATCCATAGGACACGAATACAGTGATGGCAAGAGGAAGGAGCCAAGGACACCAAGAGAAGTCAGGGGAGCTTCCCGGGACATCAGACCTCCCAAAGAAGTGGGGGTGTTGAAGAAGAGTTAGCATTTTCCAGGTGAATCTTGGGGAGAACAGTCATGGCAGAGGGAACAGAGTAGGCAAAGTTAGGGATGCAAGAAAGAGCATGGTATGTTCCAGTGTTCTGGGCACGTCGGGGTGTGGAAGTGTTGAACGTTGGCTAAGCACAAAGTCCTGAGAGATGGATGATGATGATGATGATGATGACGATGACAATAATGATGATGATGGCAGTGATGATGATGATGACAATGGTGGTGGTGATGGTGATGATGATGGCGATGATGATGATGACAATGATGATGACGACGACGATGGTGATGATGATGATGATGGTGATGATGGTGATGGTGATGGTATTGGTGGCGATGATGTATGTAGTAGGTGACACCAGAATTGTTTCCGTTTACCTATTCCTACACCCCAACCTACCTAAACTTAGTGATAAAACTACCACAATCATTTATTTTGCTCACATGTGTAGTTTGGGCAGGACCCAGTGGGAAGTGCTCATCCCTGCTCCACATGGAGTCATCTAGGATCGCTCAAAGGGTGGGGGTGGCTCCCCTGGCTGGGCGTCGGTGCTGGCTGTTGGTTGGGCCTCAATTATGACTCTCAGGTCAGATGCCGCCACACGTGGACACTCCACACAGCAGCTTGGCTTCCCCACAGCAGGAAGCTGGATTCCAGAGCGAGTATTCCAAGAGAAAAGTGGACGCTTCATGGCCTCTGTACGACTTAGCCTCAGAAGTCACACAGCATCACTCCCTCTATACTCTATTGGAAGGAGGTCACATAGGTGGACCCTGGTTGAAGGGAGGAGACAAAGGCCCCCCCAGTCAACAAGAGGAAGGCACGTGTATGGGATGAGATCTACTACGGTGGTCATATTTACAAAGCAAACTCCACCTGGGGAAAGAAGACACTAAGAGTGGGCGTTGGCAGGGCCGAGCAGACAGCAGGGGTCCACATGACCATGGGTGACACACTTTCTCAGCCCATCCTCCTCCTCCCCCGTGAGAGATCAAGGCTGGGCAAGATGGCCAGTGGGGGTCACTCTCCCCCTACATTGCTGCCATTGTGTCTCCCTGTCTCTCTCTCTTTATCTCTCTCTATCTTTCTACCTCCTTCTGTCTCTCTCAGGACTTTACTTTTGCTGATATCTCTGCCTCTTTCTAGATCTCTGTCTCTCTCAGCCTGTTTCTTTCTATTTCTATCTCCTTCCTTTCCTATCCCTCCCCTTCAACTGCCTCCCTCCCTCTCTCTGCCAAGTGAGGGCTGTGCTCTGTGGGTCCCTCTCCCTGCCCTCCAACACCCCGATGCAGACAGCTAGCCTCGCCCAGGTCTCCGCAGAGGCCCTCTAGGCGCACTTCCCGCATCTCGCCACCAGGTGTCAGCAGAGCGTCATCCGCAGGGCTCCTCGCCGGGTGGTTCGCTGTTGGGGCCCTGATTGGAGGCAAGCCCCGTCAGTCACAGCGGCTGCCAGAGGTAGGCGGGGCCTCCGAGCGTGTATGGGACAGCGGGGGAAACCAAGGCCCCGGAGAGCGAGGTCTTACTGGGACACTGAGAGAGCAGCGACAGGCCTTACTTTCTGCAGCTCTCCTCCCCAAAGCTTGCCGGGACGGGAGACAAACTCAGCACCGCTTCTTTGCGTGAGGAAAGTGCTTCCAAATCACCGTCCCCGGAAGCCACTAGCAAAGCCACATCCTGCCGCTCAGACTTAAGGCTTAGGGTAGCCTCTCTCTGCCTCAGTTTCCCCTGAGATGGGGGAAATACTAGCTCCCACTCATAGGGCAGCAGCGAGGACTCAATGAGATGCCGTGCGTGAAGTTTTTGGGGGCCCTTCCGGCCACACACAGGGACTCAGTAAATGAACACGTGTGACAAGTGCTAGGAGGAGGCTGTGCTACGTGACGTGGGGTCAGGGAGGATTCCCGGGAGAAGGTTCTTAAGCTGGGCTTTGTGGGACGAGTAGGAGTTCGCCGGGTGCACAGCCTTCACCACATTCATGCACCAGTTTGCTCATTTACTTGCATCTTCTTCCTTCTGCCTCCCTGTTCTTCTCCCTCCCCCACGCCCCTCCCCCTCCCTCTCCCTCTGCTGCCTCCTTCGCTCTCCTTCCTCTCCCTTTCTCTCCCTTTCCTCCTATTGCTCGGAATTCCCTTTGCCCCCCTTCCCATTCCCCACCTCCCTCTTCCCTTTGCTTCTCCTTCTTTCTTTTCTCTTCCCGTCCTCACTGTCCTGCCCCGGGCCCTAGGCCAGGTCCCTGCAGCCTGATGGGGAGAGGAGAGGGGCAGCTGGAGCAGGTGGGCTCCTTAAGGTGCCCGGTATTCATTGCATTATTTACAATATTGCAAAGACGTGAAAATAATTC